AATTCCCACTCTGAAAACCTAAATTTTTAGAAGGTTTACACCTAGATGGATACAATGAAGAACTAGGTTTGGCCTTCGAATACAGTGGTAATCAACATTATCAAATTGTGCCTTTTTTTCATTCGCAAGGCCAAGTAAATTTAAATGCGCAAATTTGGCGTGATTGGTAAAAAAAAGCGCTCTGTTATAGGAAAGGAGTAATTCTTATCACAATACCCTATTGCGTTGTTAATTTAGAAACTTTTATAAGGAGCGCCTTATACATATTCGGTTATCTCTCAATACCCACCTAGGAGGCAACATAGGCTCTTCCTTAATATGCATTAATTGTTCTCTTACAAAGAGACGCTGAGGCCCTGAATCATTTAAATAATATAAAACAGGCATTGGAGGATTCTTTCTAACAACAATTCTTCAGATTTTATGTAGGCTAGGAGACCATATCGGATCTGTTATCCTGCATCATTCGAAAGGATCATTTTCCCATTCTCCCTTAGCAAGTAAGAATCGGACAGTAGTACCCTTTGGTAGTTGAGGTTCATCAATGCCTATAGGACGATTATATTTTACCGATGGTTTGGAATACACTCGCTCAAGTTTCATAGCGTCATTAGGTTTCATTCCAATTAATCGAGTTGGGCTATCATTCATGTTATCAACAATTCTTCTCGCAAACCGCTCACATTCTCTACAGTGCTTGCCAGTAGGTAGGAGAAACTCTATTTAATACTGATTTTTAAAAACTCTATATTCGAATAATCCATAACGATCGATCATTGCAAAACTTGTATGCCTAAAACGTGCTATAATTCTTCGGATCTCAATGCCATGTTCATCCATTAATAAAGTCACGTATCCCATAAACTCAGTGCCCTTATCACATTGCAATTTTCGAGGCCAGTTAAGAGGTTTATCAGGATTATCATATATACTCTTAAATGCTTCTGCAACTTCCTCACTGCTCTTTGATGTTAAAAAACGAAATCTTTATATCTAGTCGCGTAGTCTATAACCAATAGTACATAGTAATATATTGGGCTATCATCATCTAGTAAATTTGTATCCACATCTACATTATATGGTATTTCGATTAAATCACATTAGTGCACAGTATTTGGCTTCGTGATTTTAGAGTAACTAGCATAAGGAATATGCTTTGGTGAAGGACAAAAAATTTGATACATTGCTTGGCTCTCAAGCTATTTTTTTTACATCAGTAAGGCTGTAGCCGGCTTTTTTACAAGCATCCCACAATCCCTTAATATTTTGGTAAAGACTCTCAGGACGATAATACAGCTTCTGTAAGGCAAGATGCCAGTCTAGATCATGAGCTTTCTGGGGATCAATAAAAATCGTAGGCCTTTGTTTTGCTATAAGTTGATCTAAGTCTCGAGCTTTTTGAGGATCGATATAAATAACCGGTTCTCCCATTCTCTTTTATAATCACGAAAAAAAAATAATGACATTTCGGAGGCCCTATCCAAGGCAAAGAAGAACGTGTGAAGAACATAAAGCTGAGCTGGAGGAGGAAAACTATCATCTTCGTAGTGAAATACAAATAGAAGTTGATACTAATCGTCGAAATGAGAAACAGATTAGGGATCTAGAATGTGATTATGACCGCTGTGTACAAGAAATCCAGATACTTAATAGGGAGATAGAACGTCTTGAGAATGCTTCGAAAGAAGAGATAATAGAGTTGAAGTCTGAAATCTCCAGTCTAAAAAGTCGGCTATATCAAGCTAAGAAAGATGTACAAGATAAGGAAAACTATATTTCTGTTTTAGAAAAGCGCTTGGAAGAATCTGAAGAGCAAGTTGAGAAATTGCGATGACAGATCAGAATTATCTCATCACAAAAAAATTCTCCAGAGTGGAGTAATTCTCCAAACTTGTATAATCCTAATATTAACTTAGAAATGGTTACCATCACTGAGTTAGCAAATGCTATAGATAGTTATCTGAATAATCTAACAACGGGTAGAGAAATCTTAGCAGATCAAATAAAAAGGGCAACAAGGCAGATACGCCGAAAAGAAAATAATCTGCATCAGGATATAGTCCGGGAGCAAAGAAGACGATATGATGCAGAAGCTGAGCGTAATAATGAAATTATATGAAGGCAACTTGCTGAAGGGGTAGAATAAAGGGCTATTGCTGATCTTCATCAATATCAAACTAATGCTCAAAACCAAGTAAATAGAATGATAGGTAATATAGCAAGAAAGCAAACCCGTATAGGTGAACTGATACAAGAAAAATTTGCTTTACAATTATTATATCAGCGAAATGCCTATCACCTACAGCGAAGTAGAGGAGATATAGGTCTGTTAGAATATAATCGAGACAGGCTCTACAAGCGATATGAGAAATGGAAAAATAAGACTCAAGCAGAGCGCCAAAATATTTTAATTTTGCAGGCACAAATTTTAGTGTTACAGAATAATCCACCAAATCAAGTAAATATGGCAGGAATACCTCATCCATATTTTGACTGGAATGATAGTATCCCAGACTTTCTTGCGCAACTAAGACTAGACTTGCAGAATCAGGGAATAGATCCAAATGATAATGTACAAGTCTTCCAGCAGGAAGAGATAATGCGATAGGACATTTAAGAGTCTGTATAAGAGGAAGGACTTTAGAATGGTTTGATGATGAGATTACTACAAAACAGAATTGGGAGCTAATTAACTTACTCGATAATACAGGGTAGGCTAACTTAGTTGCAATAAATGGGCGAACTGCAGTACAGATAGGAGCTAATGCATTAAATGAGACTGTCGGCCAACCAGGAAATGCAATAGTCAAGTTAAGAGCTGTAGAAGATGCTTGGAATGAAGACTGGCGTATAGCAGGTGGCCGTCCTACTAATGCTCCTATAAATACACCAAATGCTAATACTGGAAATACAGTAGTTGTAGCTGGTATTCAATTTGGTCAAGCTATATGGTGGTTGAAAACTCATTTCCCTACAGTAGAAGAGGAGCTTCAGGATTTGATTTATAGAACAATCAGAAAGGGAGACATGACTATAGATGAATTGTATAGAAAAATATTACAAATAGGTAGACGAGCTAACTATAGACCTGAAGAATTACGTAGAAAGTTTTTAGATGTTCTTTCTCTTCCATGGCTTGAAAAAGCTGAAGATATCGGTGAACATTTGCTATTGGACGAATTAGCTAAAAAGCTTTATGAGATAGAGTTACGCTGAATAGCAAGACATAAAAGAGATGGTGGCATATCAGACTCATTAGTATCTCATCGTGCATCTCAGCAAATATATGAACCTTCACCTGTTTCAGCCCTGCAACAACAAGGAATATCTTTAGAAGATATGCAAAAAGCAATCCAGAATACACTAGCATAGCAAAAAACTGAATACTAGTCTTTATTAGAAAAGCAAAAATCTGATTTTCAATCACAAATGGTTTAGCAAGTAACTACTCCACAAACTGTTGAACCGATTAGACAGCCGAAAGGTCCACCATCCACATTGAAAACAGAGAAAGGTCTCAAGAATTATTATGTAGCCAAACACTTAAAAGAAGTAGGTCTACTTAATAAGGAAGATTTAGACTCAGATTATCCTGTAAAGCCTTTTCAAAGACCTCGTCTACAACGAAACAATAATTCTGCTAGATTTGATAGGATTGAAGAAGGACTTGAGGAAACTCGAAATAATGTAAATTAGTTAACTGATCTATTTCAGAAAAAAGCATACATACAAAAATGTGAAATTTGTGGGAAAACCGGTCATAGCAAAAAAAGTTGTCCAAATAGACCGATAGCTCAATTTAATTTCACTCGGTCTTATTTTACGTCTCTTATACCAATAGTTTCTCCTGATTCAGATGGTGAGGAAAATGATGGAGATGGTTATGATAAAGCAGATAATGAGTGGTATTATGCATCAGAAAAAAAAACAGTCGCTAGTAACTAGCTAACCTGAAACATATGATCAGCTATTGTCTAAGCTCTCATCACTGATATGAAAAATGTGCTTGTCTCGAAAGGCTCAGAAGAAGGAATCAAAAGAATCAGATGAGTAGTTGTCATTTTTACAATACCTGAATGCTAATATAAATGACTTAACTATTTCTGAATCTTTTTTAGATCTCAGCAGTGAATTTGGTGATATAAATGACCCAGCAATCAAGGCGCTTGGATGGAAGGCTGATAAACATTCTAATTTTGCTATAAAGGGTAATTCCAAGCATATCACTGATTCACTAAGATGGTATACAGACGTGCCAGTTACCTTGAAAGATAAAGAAGATAAAACAGTCACAGTTATTGGAAATTTTGTTCGTATTAATAATGGTGAAACAGAACCAACGCTATTTTTTGGTATGTCAAATATTCGAAAGGTTCAAGGCATCCCTGAGCCAAATAAAAACCAGTTCCACATAAAGTTACATGGAAAGTCATATATTATCCCAACCTTTAGCAAGGCTTCAGTAGTCAAGGATCCGCCAAAAGAGGAGCATGAATCATCACCTCAGGTATCCGCTAACTCTTCTGATCCAACTAGTGAGGAGGACTTAAAAAAATGTGCATAAACTATGCAAAGCTTGAAGAACGTCTTGCAAAAGCTGAAAAGTGGCTTAGTAAAGCAATAAGTGCTATAAAAATGCTTGCCGAAAAGAAGTAAGTTATTCAGTATCATCCATTTGTTTTAATATATCTTCAAGTTCAGATCCCATTTCAGATAAAATATCAGTATTATCTGTGGTATTAACATTGCGCTGTAAAACTACCTCTGTTTCTGTCTCAGTAGATGCCATTTTACCTGTTTTCTTTTTTCGACTATTTTTCTTCAGTGGTAAGGCAGGTGGAGAGGAAATAGAAGGAGGTGGATCGCAGTTTACTACAGATAAACACCCACCCGCATAAGTAGTATTAAAAATATTAGCTATTGGTTGATTCCAGGCAATTCTATTAGCTTCTTCACCTCTCCAAATCTGATATATACGCTTCATTGATATGTTATTTTTGTCCATCAATTCATCTAATACTTTTGTCCTTGGCCTTTCATTTTCACATTGCATAATAAAATCGTAATCGGTTGATGAAAATAGAGGTGCATTACAATTCATACGCTGTCTAACCATAATTGTGATGATGTATTTTTTATATAAAATATTTCAAGAAATGTTAAATAGGATGAATAGAATGAATGTATTCTTTAGGATAAATAGGATAAGTGTATTCCTTTTAATATTTAGAATAAGTATGATAACCCTATTATTTTGAAAATAATTTATTAGGATAAATAGGATAAATATATTATTTCGAAAAAATTTATTAGGATAATTAGAATACTTTGGATACTTAGGATACTTAGGATACTTAGGATAAATGTTATTATTTCAAAAATTATTTTTTGTCTATATTTACAAGGATAAAAAACTATGCCTCGAATCTATACCATAAATGATGTAGGCAATAGTGATGGCAGTAAACTTGGAAGCCCTCCATCCAATCGATATCCACCTAGTCATTTAAAGCTTGAAGAACAGCTAAAAAAAGATCACAAAAGGTTTATAAGATCTGCCAAACAGCTTTTAACTAAATATCATGTCTTAGATGAAAAAAATAAGTGTATGCAAAATGATCTAGATCACTCGCATGAGGAAAATGAGTGTATGCAAAATGATCTAGATCACTCACATGAGGAAAATGAGCGTATGCATAATTCTATAAATAAAATTACCTCCCTAGCTAATCAACTAAATGGTTTGAATAATAAGCTTGTCTTTCAAATTACTTGTAAACGAAAGTCTCATGCCAATCTTAATGCCAAGCAGTTAAAAGAAATAGAATCGCTAAAGTCTATGGTTAAATCACTGAAAAGCATAATATCTTCGATGCAAAAAGCTTCATCTTTAAAGGATTCTGATATCATCTCTCTTGGAACTAAAATAAATGAACTGGAGGCTGAGTTGGAACAAGCTACGCAAAAAGTTTTATTAAAAGATTCTGATACTAACCAGTTGTGTAACAATCCCTTTCTTGAGATTAAAGCAAAGGAATTGAAAAATGAATTGGAGAAAGTTACGCAAAATTCATCATTTAAGGATGGATCAATTTTCTGTCTCAGGTCTAGGGTAAGTAATCTGAAAGATGAACTAGATCAGATCATTTCGCAATCGCATCAATCAATTAATGATTCAAAAATAGGTAGTGCAGAAGCAGATCCAGTTTTATCATCCAATGATTATGCTTTAGCGTCTTTAGCTAAGCGAGGTGAAGCAGTAGAAGAGATATCCCATTTTTCTTCACACTGCTCAGAGTCTGAATCTGATGAAAGCATAGTAAAAGATGAGATAGGGACCCAAGGAGACCATTTTCATGTTGATCAAAAATCAAAAGAAAAACATGATAGTATCTCAGCCTCGCCCATTGTTGTATTAGGAGCTGGTAAGGCTTTAGTTGATAATCAGTATTTGCTTCCGCCTATATTCGAACTTATGATACTTGCTTTAGTGATTATACTAATTATATGGTATATATATAGACTTTTTTTCGCTCTGATAAAAAGGAAGAAAATTTTCCGAAATATACAATACCCATAAATAGAAATCAAAGTTATGCATTCCCAATCCACAATGCAGAAGAACCAAAAAACAGGACTACCCCCTATGAAACT